CTGGCACTACCTGCACTTGTCCATCTCCATTGACATATGTAGCAAGTCACCTGATCCTCAGAACAACCCAGTTTGGCAGGGACTATCACCAGCCCCATATTTTTTTTTTTTAAAGAATACAACATTCTGCTTCCATGTACATCTGCACACCAGAAGAGGGCATCAGATCTTATAACGGATCGTTGTGAGCCACCATGTGGTTTCTGGGAATTGAACTCAGGACCTCTGGAAGAGCAGTCGGTGCTCTTAACCACTGAGCCATCTCTCCAGCCCCACAAGCCCCATCTTAACAGTGAGAACTGAGGCACAGAATAGTTCAATATAGGCAGAGTCTGGATTCTCCTCAGTTAGCCCAAGACAGAAACACGACAAAAAAGAAGTCCTGCCAGAGACACAAACATGTCAAAGGTGAAGCAGAGGGGAAGGTCTCTTTCTAGTGGGGGTTGGAGTTTTGAAGGATGGGTAGGAGCCCAGGAGTCAGAATCATCAGAGAGAAGATGAAAGCAGTGGTATGGCAGTGGCCTGACTGTAGAAGGGGCTGGTTCATAGGGCAGTGAGCAGCTCGGACAGAAGGTCATGTAGAAGAGACATGGCTTCCTCAGGGGTTGCAGATACTTGTAGGGGGCCTAGGGCAACAGTCTAGGAGTCTGAGATTCACTGAAGACATCAAAATAGCAGGACAGAGGCTCTTAGAGAATTGGGCTGTGTCTTCTTCTGCAGCAAAATGAATTTTGTGAAGCCAAACACACACACACACACACACACACACACACACACACACCACACTAATAAAAAGAGAAAGTATGCAATATGTGTCTTTCTTCCTCTATTACTCTTCCTTGTTTCCCTGTCCCCACCTTTTAGACTCATTGCTTGCTTGAAATTAGAAAAGTAGGCTTCAAATTCCCAATCACCCTGCTTCTGTCTCCCAAATGCAGGGCTTATGGGCATGCATGCATCACCATATCTGGCGACAAGTCTTATATTCTAAACTTAGATTCTGCATATGAGAGACAACATATGGTATTGTCTTTTCGGCCTGACTTATTTCTCTTAACATGATGCGCTCTAGTTCCACTCACCTCCCTGTGAATGGCATCATTTTGTTTCATTCTTTTTTAAGGTTAAAGTCCATCGTGTATACCCAGCACATCTGGTGATGGGCATCCAGGCTGGCTCATTAGTAAATATGGATGTGCAAATCTCTCTCTAGCAGTCTGACTAGTTTCCTTCAGAGTATTTATTACAATTTTTAAAAGTTGAGAAAAAAGAGAAAAGATTACTACATTGGAGGCCTGGGTGGAACAGGGACTTGGCAGTTACCTCTGTGGCTGATACAATTGCAGGTGGCAGAGTTGGCTGGAAATCTAGGAAAGGAGTCGCAGGCTGCGAAGAAAAGAACATTGAGTGCTGAGCACAGTGGGCAGCACAGCGCTGAGGGCCTGGGCAGCTGGTTGCACTTGCCTGGTGTGAATGCCAACTCTACTGCTTAGTAGATGGTGAACATGGAGAGTTAACTTTGCTGAGTTTCACTTTTTTCATCTACAGAATGGGAATGATATTGTGGGGCCTGCCACACAGTAAAAAATTCTATCAATGTGCATCTCTGGAAGAGCTTAGGTCAAGACCATTCAGAAGAAACCCTAGCAGCTGAACCTGTATTCTGCTGTGTCCATCCACATAGGTCACCAGGCTAGGGAGGAAGCAGCAGGAGAGGAAAAAATAAAAAAGGAAACTGAGTTCCTGGGAGTTTCTAGATCTTTGTAGGGGTGGGTATGGGGCTGTTGACTTTTCTTTCTCTCTTTTTAAATCTGCATAGTAATTGAGTGTAGACCAATTTATCCACTTATGATTATTATTATTATTTTTTTGCTGCAAACTGCATGAAGCTTTATTGTAATTTAATGAGCTAACGCCATGTATGCTTGGGTCTTTCACCCACCTGCCATGGCGGATGGCTAGCAAAGACAGCTTGAACCACTGCAGAGAGAAATTTTGTAGGGCAGCATAAGGGGAGTGTCTAGGGGTATGCACAGGCTCATGATTGGTGTGCCTCCAGGCTTGGAGGGCTTGCCCTGTGTTGATTGGCCAACTGGTTGTTATGGCCCATAGGCCCTCCCAGGGTGGTTGTTATGCTCTGTGCGTCATTGCTGTGCACTTGTCCGTAAAGTACACCCAGGGTCATAAAGCAATTATTATTATTAATATTATTATTTTTAAGTTAGGGTTTTACTATGTAGCCCAGGCTGTCCTCCAACTCACTGTCTGCTGCAGTCTTTTGAGTGTTATGAGTGTTGGAATTATGGACATGAGCAACACACATTTTATATTGATTGACTTTTTTGCTATTACTTTTTTTGTGGGGGGTCAGGGTCTTACTAAGTAACCTGACGGTCCTGCTACTCATGAGATCTACCTTACCTCTACCTCCCAAGTGATAAGCACTAGGATTACAGGCGTGTGCCACCAAACCTGGGTTGTTTTTTGTTTGTTTTTTTTAACATTGAAAAAAAAATTTTGTGTACATCAGAGGACAACCTGTGGGGGTAGGTTCTCTCCTTTGCCATGTAGGTTCCAGGGAACAGAACTTAAGTTTGGCAGCAGGCACCTTTATCTGCTGAGCCACTTTGCTGTTCCCTTTTGGCTCTTTTAAGCTTCTGTGGATATTTCTGTACATCCTTTGATGGATCTAAATAGTCATTTTATTGTTGTTGGATATATACTTAAGACTAGAACTGCTGACTCTTGAGGTATATGGGAAACCTTAGTAAATAAAGCCTACTGGCTTGCTTTCTCTTTCTTTTTTGAGACAGGGATCCAGGTAGCACAGACTGTCTACAAACCTACTATGTAGCCAAGGATAACTTTGACATCTCGATTCCTCTGCTGCTGTTTCCCCAATGCTGAGATCACAGGTGTGTGCCATCATGCCTGGCCTACATATTTTCTCAAAGTGGTTGTAGAGACACATGATCCTAAAGCGATTGATGAGTTCCACTTCCTCCCTATCGTTCATTATGCTGGGCACTTTCATTTTAGCCAGACACTCAAGGGTGTGTTGCGCTGCTATGGCATCATAGTTTACTTTTGGAGGGGTGGTGGGTTTTGAGACTTGGTCTTGTTATGTATCCAAAGCTGGCTGGCCTCAAACTTGCAGTGACTGAGGTTACAGGTGTGTGCCATCAAGCCAGGCTTCCTTACTGTTTTCAAGTGTATTTTTTTGTGTGTGTGTGTGTGATAATTAATGATGTACTTCTCTCTCTCTCTCTTTCTCAAGACAGGGTTTTCTCTGTGTAACAACCCTGGCTGTCCTGGAACTCACTTTGTACTCCAGGCTGGCTTTGAACTCACAGAGATCCACCTGCCTCTGCCTCCTGAGTGCCAGGATTAAAGTCATGCCTGATGATGATGCATTTCTCTTTTAAAGTCTGTCCTTTCCTTAGTAAGATGTGAGTGTGTGTGGATGTGTGTGTTACTGATAATTGAACCCAGGCCTTACTCATGCCTGGTGAATATTCTATCAATGAACTATATTCCTAGCCTCTTTTGTTTTGGGGGAGGGGGTTGTTTTTACGTAGGGTTTCTCTGTGGCTTTGGAGGCTGTCCTGGAACTAGCTCTTGTAGACCAGGCTGGTCTCGAACTCCCAGAGATCTTGCCTGCCTCTGCCTCCTGAGTGCTGAGATTAAAGGCGGCACCACCAATGCCTGGCTATTTTTTTTAAAAGTAATTATTGGCTGTTTATTTCACACATTTGAACTGCTTGTCTGTGTAGTTCAAGCTGGTCTTGAATTGTCTTCATCCTACCTCATTCTCTTGAGTTCTGGTGTGCCACCCACTAATCCTGGCTGTTTTCAGCCATTTTCCTTTTGGAGCATTTGGATTTTGCTTATCAACTAGGAAGCAATCTTTAATGCGTGTTGGTAATAATAATTTATCATCTGGGCTGCAATTTTTTTTAAAGCTGTCTTTTGTCTTTAGAATGTAAGTTTCCCCTGAAGTTCATTTGGAAGGATTGTTTTAGCTGTGTTAGCAAGAACAGTTCAACAGTTAAGAGCAATGACGAGAAATTTTCTCTCTCAACGTGATTAAAAGCTATCCCCACTGACTGAGGAGGTACTGCAGGATCGACCATACGGATCAATGAACACAACTCGAAAACGGATATGGTGATAGTGGTACCTACAATCGGGGCTGAAAATAATGTGCGGATAGATTGTTGATGGATTAAATGAGACGTGCGGAAAAAAAAATCCTCTCATGGTTAGTAACTAAAATCAATGCAATATACCCTTAAAATAACTTAGCGACAAATATCTCAGAGGATGTGTCGGAGTTAATTACTCAGAGGTAAAGCGCGGCTCAGATCGCATTCCAAGCAGCGGGACCCGCCAAAGCAAAGGTTCAGAGGTTGGAGGACTGCCGTGAGCAGGCTCCAAAATCGAACTCAGGACGCCCACACGGAATGCAGGGTTGAAGCCATACCCGCCCCCACAGCCATCATAATTATGTAAAATACCACTTTTCCCATATATGGTACTTAATATCTGTTCTCCTGGTAGGACAGGACGAAGGGAAAACACGGCTGGCGGGGCGGAGTGTCAGAGCCTCAGACCTTCCCAGCACGCTCCTGCCCGCCTCGGCCCGGCCCAAGCTGCGCATCCGAGCCGGGACCGGGAACCCAGCGCGCCGGAGCCATCCACTTTTGATTGGGTGTAGTTCACGTCAATCCTCGTCCTGTAACCTGGCTGTCCATTGGATCCGCCCCACGAGGCGGGGCTCCCGCCTAGGAAGCGCGAGGAAGGTGGGGTGGGCGGAGGTGGGGAGGATGAATCCCTGCCTGCTGGCATTCGTCCCTTATCTGCTTATAGGCCGAAAATCTGTCAGTTTAGGCCAGGCTCCTGCCGGATTCGCCGGTGTGGAGAGGGGGCG